AAAAAAAAATAGACTTAGCAAGTAAGCAAATCAGTTAAAGGAAACCTTTTTACTGATACAGATTGTATAATACAGTGGGCAGAAATGGGAAAAAGGTATATTGTTTTGCATTTTTTGTCATTAGGCTGAATATTCAATGCACTAAAACAATTTAATATATAATTTGGTCATTATACATTTACAATTCACATAATAAAGTGGTTATACATATATAAATAATAATTGTAGTATTGAATAAATGAAAAACTAAAATCTCAATTGCATTATTTGTTTAATATTTAAAATATATAAATTACCCATATAAAAATTGCTCTAATTTTCATTTTTTGTTTGTTGAGAAATTTTAAGAAAAAGAAGGATAGTAGAGTGTATCTTTGTGGGCGTAGAGATTCTAACAAAACAAAAATCATTCAAAGGTAATTTCATGATAAGATTGGAAACCAAAACCAAAAAAAAAAAACAGAAATGACAAAAGAAACTTAAACAACACTTATAAAACCATTCAACATTTGACCAATCACAACTGTTTTTTATTAAACACAAAACGACAAGATTTTGTTTTATATTGTTCCTAATGTTTCAAGCATGGCCATGTCCGATAAGAGCGAGAAGAATTTCCTCATAGTCACCATGAGTGTCTTTAGCAATGGCTCGATCAAGAGGAACACTGTTTCTACGTAAATATTCCTCTTTGATCCGTTCCATGTCCAACTCTGCTCGTGTAGTGACCACTCTCGTAAGTCCCCACTCGTCTGTTCCAACCTTGTTAATGGCTTGACGTAGAACTTTTTCAAAGTATTTCTCTGGATAGGTCAAGCATTTGATTATGGCTTTAAGAAGTTGAACATATTCGTTGTCTGAATCCTTCTTCAGGTATTTGGTAATGGAAGTTCCATACGTGTTTTTGAAGTGATTGAGTGTTGCGCTGATTTGAGCTTTGCTCCTTGTTGTCAAGATTCTGATGAGATTTCCATCATTGTACTCCTTGTCCTCGACCTGATCATGAAGCATTTTAGCTTCCAACATAGCTAGCATCATGTTCACTTCAGCTCCATCGTACCTAAAGGTGCTCACAAGTGGAACCAAAAGCTGCATAAACAGTAACATATGTTAGAAACTTATATGCATTCATCTTGACATTGTATTTGAAGTAACATCAATAAATGTAAGAGACCTCGTTTAGTATAGAGATATCAAATAGTCTGTATATTTTTTTTATTGGTTCTGATATGGAAGCTCATATAAAATTTTACTAACTTATTTAAAATACCTTTCGGAGGTCTCCAGATGTGTGGTATGCGACATCTTCCTCAAGAGAGGTCTTGTAGCGAGCTTGGTATGCTTGCTTAGCCTTTAAAAAGTCAAGGGCAGATCTAGCACAAGCGATTTCAACTAGAATCCAATTGTTTTTGGTGAACATTTTGGTAGATTCCTTAGCCAAATAAGCATCTCTCTCCGCTGGATCAAAAGTCCATAACATCACAGCTCGCTGAATTTTTATTTACAAACAAAACATATACATAGATTAATTCGTATCATCAATATACTCTGAACAAAAGAAGACAATATATAAAGATTATAGTTTCTTAATGATGAACCTCGAAGTCACCGCTTAGCTCTTTGTCTAATTCCTTGAGAAGATCCTTCTTGTAGTTAGCCGCATAAACGGTGCGGAGGAAGTTACGTTGCGTTGCATTTCTGTGAGCCAAGATTGATATGATCACCCCCTCGTTGGTTCCCCACCCTACATGGACAAACGCAACATAAAGGCATGTCACGAAATCTCCAAGGAGTATATGTTCTTTCGTCAACAAACTTATTATATATGCCACAATATCATCGATATATTATCAACCATCCATAAGAATTGCGGTTAGCCAAAAACTCGCGAATCAAGCCGGATCCATACAGGGCCGATCGAATCCCAAAAACCAGTCCGGGTCAAACTCCTTAATCCCATTAGTTTCATCTTATATTTTGGTGTTTTACCGTGGCTCATACCTAAACCTCTAATTTTTTTGACCAGATCAAAGTTGGTCCAGTTCAAAACCAATCACAATACAAGTCGGACCGGTCAGTCCATATCATTCCTAACTAGAAAGTCATAACAAGTAGAATCGTGTAATCTACGTTAGACTTGCAAAGGGAAATTTGTTTACCACTGTTAGAGAAAATAGTTAGAAGAATTTTTTTTTTTTTTTGTTAAAGGGTTTGCTTGAATATATTTAGAATGTTTACATCGGAAGTTTGATGCAGAAGAATCAGGTTTGGAAAAACTTAGGAGAACAATGTATTTTTCAAATTTAATTAATATTAGATTGAAAATGTATATATTTGGGTTATAAGAGATCTCTTAAAGATTTGAAGGCCTACTAACAAGTATAATATTTTCTGAAATTTAGAGTGACTTAAGTTAAACCAAACGAAAACTCTTAGGAGAAGTATATTTACATAGTGAAAGTCAGATTTTGATCGTTTTAAAAAAAAGGTTACAATTCATTATAGATCAGCATATATATACAAAAAAGACAAATAAGAGAGAGACCTTTAAAGGCTTCGTTGAGCTGCTTAGCATCTTCTTCGGGACTAGGGACAGTGGCGGGAACTTTGAGAGAAGCCATTTTTGGATAAGTGAATATTTCTGTATGTTTTTGTTTCTTTTTGCTGTTTGAATGATGAGGTAGATCCGTAGATGCATGATGTTGTCTTACTTAAATAATGAAATGGAACTTAATTTTCAACTTTTTAAAAAAATGTAGATTTAAATTTCATTTTGGTAATAAGACTTGGTAGTTTAAGTTAATCAATTTTAAAAACAAAAAATCAATTAAGTGGGAAGGGAATAAACTTCATTAATTGGACATAAGGTTGAATAGTAATTGAGTTGAATACAATACTACATTTCAAGTGAAGTATTCATATCCATAATCCATTATACGACTTGGCAATTTAAGTAAATCAATAAAAAAGGAGAAAAAATCAAGACAGCTTGCACAAAAGTAATCTAATATACTGAAATAAGGTTGAATAGTAATTAGTTGAATACAAATACATTTCAAGTGAAGTATTTAAGCATATAAAAAAATAATATATAGAGTGGTTGAGAAACTTATGATTTAGTTTGTGAATGACACGTTTGGCCTTGACATTTCAAGAACATATTTGTTTTATGTATAAGAAGGAACAATTCTATTGACTTATAACACAAAGACTTAGTTAACTACTCAACATTTAAAAGTGTGTATTTGTTTTGAAATATAAAGAGCGTCTGATTCAAAGAAAAATATTGTTGGCTAATATAAACAATCAATTTGATAACCAGCATTGTGTTAAGTATATAATGTCCATGTGGCACAAGTATTATGATTATAGGAATGTTTTTTTTTTTTTGCTAAATATGATTATAGGAATGTTGTGGAGACAAAACATGATTTTCATGGCTTGTGTCATTAGTTTTCTTCTTCAACTCCAAGAAGTAGCCGCAGGGGTCACGTGGTTGGTGCTAAGCTAAAACGTGAAAGGAGCAGTTGTTTTTTTGGCAACCAAACCCATTCTAAAATCTTATAAACATATAACGTAACGTCACGTCGAATTTCAAGTTTCAAAAAAAAAAAAAACATATCGAATTTCAACAAGTATTATTTTAAAATTTAAATAAACATTAACAAACAAAAGAGGTACTATTTTAGATGGCAGCAAAATTTTTAAAAAACAACGATCCTGCTGGGGATCGAACCCAGAATCTCTGGTTTCGTAGACCAGCGCCTTATCCATTGGGCCACAGGACCATTTTGACTGTCATATATTTTTATATTTATATAAACGTATACTATCTCCAAAGAACAATGTACATTTGGATAGACCGATATATTAACTGAGAAAACTCAAGATACAAATTATAGATATGGTTTAGAGATTAAATTGAAGATTTTTTTTTTTTCAATACATAATTTTGTTTGTAGAACAAAATTAAGGCTACAATCCAGTAAAATTGTTAAGGAAATATTAAAAAAAAATAGTTTGAAAAGTTTGTGGGTAAATAACCAACTTATCACTCTACTATTTTCAAGTTTGATCTATAGCATTCATTGCTTACAAGCAATTGTGAGACTAGAACACAAGTAGAAATTTCTCACATGGTCTAGACTACTCAACTATCATTGCTCCCATAAATTGATTCAGCTCATTAAGACATACAATTTAGCAAGCAAAATGACTCAATATGCCAAAGGAACCATAAGATGGCTCCTTTGCATTCTTTTCTTTAAAGACTTGTTCAAGATCCCATGGAAGATGATAAGTATTCTCTTTGAGGCAATAAAAGAAAAATGTGCGAATCAAACATTAGCTTAATCCTTGTTCATTTTCAAACAATGGCTGCAGTCTTCTCTGTCAATTTCTGTAGCTTCTCAGGAAGAGGATCTTCGGTTTTATCTTCTTCATTAGCTGCAACATGAACCCCGAGAGCTGCACGACCTGATAGGTCAAGATTTTGTGACCAAGTTGCATCCCATTCTACAGCTTTTGATGTACTGTCTACAAGCTACACTTGGACCTCCTGGTACTGTTGCTCTAGCAGCGCTCTGCTCATTTAAATAATCCGAAAAACAAATCAGATCAAAGTTCAAGCGAAGAAGTGACTACGCGGATGAAAATGATAATAACCTTAGGGAAGAACATTTCAAAGATGGTTCTGTAGTAGTAAGCTTCCTTTGTCACAGGTGTGTTATCAGGGAAGACAAAGCTTGTGTTCATCAGCATTGTGTCATAGACCTTACCAAGAAAGGAAGGAAAGCGTCGCATTATCGAACTGTGACTTAAGATTATTTCGATGAATTAAAAAAAAAAGACAATCTTACTTGTTTGTTTGCATGATCTTTCAGACCATCAATCCAACTGTATCCAACTCCATCACTGAACTGTTCTTTCTGCCGGTATAAAATGTGCTAACATTTTCCAAAAGATAAGAACTTGTTAGAAGTTAAGAACATAGAGAGCTTCCACTAAACTGGGCCAAAACTGGATAATTTTCTTAAATTGCAGGGAGCAGAGCACAAAATTTTTGATATTGAAACCTTTGGTAGATAAGGATTTTGCTCATCATCAAAGGCATTGCGCAACACCCATTTTTCAATCCTTCCGAGATCAGGCCTAATCTGCATTGCAGTATACACCACAATTTTCATCAAACATGTGACTTGGGCTTATAAATTTGTGATCAAACAAATTCATGAAAGAATCAACTGAAACTAAACTGAGGGTAGTGCTATATACTAAAGAACGGATCGAAAATCCCTCTTTTGATGTATATATAATAGAAAGATGAAAATAGAAACAATAAGGAAGATGCCACCTACCATTTTCCACTGTGGATCAATGCTCATTGCGACATTAATAAATTCTTTATCGAGGAAAGGTACACGAGCCTCAACACCCCATGTAGAAGTTGATTTGTTGGCCCTCAAGCAATCATATTGATGAAGAGCTTTGATCTGTACACAAATCCGTGCACACACACACACAATTCACATATTAACACAAAGCACTGTAGCAAGAAGTTCTAGTCTAACAGCAAAACCTTTCGGCATGTTTCTTCATGGAATTCCTTCTTGTTGGTGCTTTATAGAAGTACAAATATCCTCCAAAATTTTCATCAGATCCTTCCCCAGAAAGAACCATCTTTACACCAAGCGATTTGATTTTTCTTGACATTAAAAACATCGGAGTACTGGCTCTTATAGTAGTCACGTCATAGGTCTCAACATGGTATATAACTTCTTCTATTGCATTTATCCCTTCCTGATGTTTCATTGGAAAAAGAGATAAGGAACCAACCGATGAGATAAAAATTTAATACTCGATACTCTTGTAAATGCAAAGTGAGAAAATTTACCTGAACTGTAAAGTGTAACTCGTGGTGGCGAGTTCCTAGATAGTCAGCAACTTCTTTACTAGCTTTAAGATCCGGGGATCCTTGAAAAGAAAACAGAGGAAAATAATAAATCTTGATGAGCGTAGAAAGCTTTAGGTGAAAACATTTTGAGTAATCAGGTAAGCCTTGAAGACCTTCAAACCGATACAAAATGTGTGCAACTTTGAACCCCATTGACGAGCAGCTTCTGATTTTTCCAAATGGCGTAAAGTCACTGATGCAACAGGGGATGAGTCTAATCCTCCAGAGAGAAGGACACCAAAAGACACATCGGTTATTAGTCTCTTTATAATAGCCTGCAAGTCAACGTAAGGATCATAACTCATGTTTCGAAAAACCTCGTCAGCAATTATCAAAGATAGTATGTACCTTGAGAACTATCCAAACTACATAAATGGGAAATTGACATTTGAGACTTTGAGGAGGACAAAACTCCAGAATTTACCTTCTCAAAAGTATCGCGCACTACTAAAAGATTATAAGGGGTTGAAGGAACCAATTCAGAGAACCATGTGGGGGGTTGTACCACCTCCTAAGCCCACCTACAAGAAAGGTTTAATCCATGAAACTCACAGCAAAATTCCACACAAATTCACTAAAAGATGGAAATCCTACCGACAACCAAATTAACAAAAATTGAACTCTGAGAGTGTGTCCAAAGCGATATGAGTATATCCAAGAAACATCATGAATTTACTATAAAATAGAAGTGAATCTGATATGAGATGCAAACCTTGTTTACTCGAATAGATGTGTTTTGGGGGAAAATACATAAACTGTGCACAATCATCACTAAGTGCTTTCATCTCAGAAGCAAACCAGACAGAACCTGTGGAAAACTATTTATCAAAGAGTCAAAACGAGTAATCAATGAAAAGGATTACATAACAAAACAAGAAACAAATACTCATGATCCGTTGAGGTGATTTACTGAGAGAAATGTGAACATACCATCAAGACCCCACCCGATGTAGAGTGGCATCTCGCGCAGCAATAAAATTTTTGTCACGCGTATCAAGGAGGACAAATGCAAACATGCCATTCAACATGCCCACAAATTCCTCTCCATGTTCTTCGTATTGCATTATCAAGAAACAATAAATCATGGAATAGAATATTAAACACAATAACTAATCGTCTAGCGTTCGGTAACAAATATATAGGTGACCTCCTTGCACTTGCATTTACATGAACATATGGTATCTATCTAAGGAAACCCTGAAGTCAAAACTCCTCCCAAATTAACGGATACTTACAAGATGGGCAATCACTTCACAATCACTCCCAGTACGGAACTGGTGAGACTTGAGATTTTCACGCAAAGCCTTGTGATTGTATATCTCTCAATTGACCTGAAAGCAAGCAAAGACTCCAAACAACAAACACTTAAATCACATAAATCCCTATCATGTTTTGAGGTTGAAAAGGAAATGGCATTCAGTATTCCATAGTTTATTTAAGAAATTAAGATTAGGACACAAGTCAATGTACCGTGACAACGATGGCTTTGTCTTCATTGTAAAGCGGTTGGTCTCCGGAAGTGGGGTCAACGATGGCCAAACGCTCATGAGCCAAATAACAATCCTCATAACAATGAAGACCACNCCAATCAGGACCAGATCTATGCCTCAATCTACACAAACATACATGTATACAAAAAATCAGATTAACCATTCAATCAAATCTGACCAATACACGAAATTTCATCTCACCCACAACCACAAAGATAGGAATCGAGTAAAAGGCCTTCATTTAACAAAACCCAACTCAATTTACCCACAAAGTTTGAATCTTTTCATCTTCCAAAAACAATACCCAATGAGAACAACATTACGCAGCAACAAGGAGATCGAAAGAAGAAGACTTTAAGAACCATACCTGCGAGAAAGTTCGATGATACGGGAACGTTTTTCTTGAGAGTTATCTACGCAGCCTAAAATAGCAAGAATTCCACACA